CCACGGGGCCGCGGTTCTGTCATCAAGAGGGACGGCCTCCCAGCCCGTGGTCGCAAGGTGGCCCCCGACCTGCTTTGGCCGTGGAACGTGGGGTGCCTTCGCGAGCTTGCGTCTAAGTGGTTTTGTGCACCTGCTCCTTCCTTCCAAACCCCATGCCCACCGGAGCCCGTGAGACCCAGAGGGGCCAGCTACGCGGCCACTCGGCCCTGACAGGAAGCTCGGCAAGGCCCCGACCAGACCCAGTGACACAGAACACAAGCGTCCCCTGAGCCCAGTAACGCAGGACACAAACGTCCCCTGAGCCCAGGTCCCAGGACCGCCCAGACGATACCTGGACCTGTGAGCAAAGCAGGCAGTTGTCTTATGTCACAGAAGTTTCGCGGTCGCTTCTTGTGGACATCATGAGCCGTGTCTGAGACGGGGCTGGGCAGCCTGTCACAGGTGGGCTTTGCCTGTGTGTGTGGGACTGTGGGACAGGGCCACCTGAGCAGAACTACCCGATACGCAAGGGTGGAGGCATCGGGCAGGAGGGCCAGCCACCAACAGTGTCAGATATACACACCCAGGCCTGGGCCTGGGGCCAGGGAGGGCTAGTTCCCTCAGAAGCAGAGAGGGGCCAGCCCCCCGGCCGAGTGCTGGCTTGTGCCCGGCCCTCAGCAGCAACACCTCTGTACAACCACACCCCCACACACATGCGAAGTCACACACACTCACACACATGCACACACTCACACAGCCCACCCTCACACACACACGCTCACGCCCACACCCCCTTCCCCCCAGCTGCTCTCTGAGACGATGCTCTTCCGGGCACGGTGGGCGGTTGTCAGCAGGTCACGGCCTCCTGAAAGTTGTCCCAGAGGTGCCCTCGAGGGGCCACGGTGGAGTGTGAGGGCTGGGGGTGCAGTGTCAGCCTCCACGTGCCAAGCGTGTCCCAGCGGGCCCAGGTCCCCGGTGAGCGGGGGTCTACTGTCCACACCACTGCCCCTGTGTCCTGTCCCGGGCACCTACCTTCCCCGGCCACTGACGGCGGACATGCTCTGGGGGTGGTCATTGGCCACGGACACGCCGTGGGCTCCGGCAGGTGACGGGATCTTGGTGAGATGCGCGTCCTGAGAGTTCCAGGCGCTGACGCTTCCGTTTACACCTCCGTGTCGTCCCAGGGGAGGACCGTGGCCCTGCGTGGAGGACCTCGCATTTCCAAAACCACCATTCCCCGGCCACTGACGGCGGACATGCTCTGGGGGTGGTCATTGGCCACGGACACGCCGTGGGCTCCGGCAGGTGACGGGATCTTGGTGAGATGCGCGTCCTGAGAGTTCCAGGCGCTGACGCTTCCGTTTACACCTCCGTGTCGTCCCAGGGGAGGACCGTGGCCCTGCGTGGAGGACCTCGCATTTCCAAAGCCACATGTTGCCGAAACCACCCGTGTTCTTTCTGATCGATGACAAGTAAAAAGAAAATAAGTCTAACTCATCGAATAGTACTTATCAAATGCTAGATACCTGTTTCTAAGTGTAGGATAAATGCCATCGATATTTCAGAAAATCGCTTTAGGTGGCACACACGTGAATACTTCCATCTTTATAGTTGTTTATTTTAATGTTTATTAGGAAGAAAAAATACTGCAGACATATAACTTGGCAGTTTTGCTTCAGAAAGAAGCTACGCTATGTGTTTAAGTTAAAAATTAAGTCAATTTAAGGAAAAATATAAGGTAACGATGCTCTATATGGTAAGAAAATATGGCAAAAATTATGGGGCAAATACTAAAGTTTGAGAAGTGTAAGGCATGAACAAGGCATATTTCTTAACTTGCTATAATTGTTTTCGGTGTTTTGGAAGATCACATATTCTAGTTTAAATTATACTAGTGAGTATATTTAAGTTTTTCAGAGTAATTATTAAACTTGTATTTTTCAAACAGCATAGAAAATGAGGGATGTGTATGTGTGAGTGTGCCCTGTATGAGTGTGTGCCCTGTGTGAGTGTGAGAGCATGATTGTGTCTGCTCGTGTGTGTGTGCCCATGTGTGTGTATAACATCTATGAGTGTGTGAGAGTGTGAGTGTGTCTGCTCATGTGTGTGAGAGTGTGAGTGTGTGTGCTGTGAGTGTGTGTGAGTGTGTGTTTAGGAGGAAGACTATGGAGGGCATTTGCTCCCCTCCCCACCCCTCAGCCGTCCGCCCTCAACTTCCTGGCTTCTGTCCACTTACTCTGGGCTTTCTGTTCCTGGCTGGTTTGTGGTCACATTTTAATATTGTGTGTTCTTTTGGAGCTGGGTAGACTCAGCAGTCTGTTTTACTTTGACAGACTCAGTGGCCCTGGGCACTGCTCCCAAGGTGGGACTGTCACATTCCCGAGCTAACATTTGTTTCTTATCTGGGCTGAGCGTTTTCAAGTAAACTCCCCAGGAAGGTGTACACTTCGTAACTTCTCGTGGACCTGACATGAGTCCTGTTGCTTTCAATTAAATTCTCTTTTTGGATCAGAGGACAAGAATCTAATTTAAAAACGCAAGCCCATCTTCACACAGGAATCGGAATTTGACCGCGTTGGGGTTTGAGGGCCACGTTTGTCTCCGCAAGACCGTCACGTGCTGTCCCTTGCGTGCGGACGCACAGGGCTGCGTGGCAGGGACCTGAGCTACTCTGGCTCTGCATTTTGGTGCACGTAGGTTTCCCTCCGTCTGAGAGCTTAGGTATGTGGACTGCCGTCCCAGTTGGGGGTGTCGACAAGGCTGGGGGCGAGGTGTTCGCGTCGCTGCTCGCTCACCCTCACTTAGTGCTCCCCATCTCAGCGTCCGAGGGGAAAGGTCAGACTCAGTGTTTAAGGAGCCTAAGAAATGACGTCACAGTGAGCTCACGTCCTTAAAGACCTTTGCGGGCAGCGTGCTGGGCTCAGGCAGATGCCGTCGGCTCTCCGTCCACGGCGGCCAGAGCCAGGCAGCTTCCTCCCCGCCGCGGTCAGGGGACGGCCGGGCTTGACCCCTGAGCCTCAGGGGCGTGAGCACCTTGCCTTACGTTCTGGGACTGTGAGTAAGTGGGTTTTACCCATAGAGGAAATAGGTGGTGTTTTCAGCTACAGGCAACAGAAACTCTGACTCAAGCTGGCTTTGAAAGAAAAGGAAACGCGGCCCCCCCAGCAGGAAACGGGAAGAGC